TTTTTTTTTAATATTCTAGGTCTACTCTTTGAATAACTTTTGAAAAATATTTGTGAAGACTCTATATCCCTCACTACACTGTTTCAACAAATACCACCACTTATATCTATATAATTTTAAAGTGCTTTTACATATATCTGTATTTCAACTAAAGAAAATGCACCAACTGACTATTTCATTTCAGATTTGACAATCACAAACTAGCCTGATTTCTGCATGATTACTGAATGCCTAAAATAAGCCAAGAAAATGCTCATGCCTGTATTTCACTAAAAATGTTAAGTCCATGTTTCAGGGAAATAAGTGTTTATGGTCATTAATTCTGAAAACATTTATGAGCTACACAAACATCTTCCAAATTTTATAAAGAGGTAAATCTTCAACAATTTGCAAGGTAGCAAAGCTTCCCACTGGTCTCTCTATAACACAGTAACTTAATTACCTACATACAATTTCACGACACAAAACTAGAAACAGTATGTGTTCTAAGCACTAACACATTTGCACTGCTGCTCCTCCTGGCATTCTCCTTTCTAATTGCATTCCCACAAGACCCACCTGAAAGCTCTATTTCAACCAACGCCAACTGACTGGTGTCCTGAGTGGATAATGCTGAGCAGCAAATCCTACAGCCTAAGTCACTGGAGAGAAGAGCAATCCTAAAGGAACTGTGTTTAGTCAGCTAGTGCCAGAACATTCTGCTTGAGAGGCTCCTCTGCAAAGGGTTGGGTGCGGGCCCTGGCTAGCTGACTTTACAGACCTGTGGCTTCCAAAGAGTGCAATGCTGACTAAAGTTTTTACAGAACACACTCACCTTCATGTTCACCAAGGGAAAAGCCAAGATACCTCTCTCAATGGCGTCTCTCCATTCTCCCTGCCTCAGAGACACACCTTCTCCCAAATCTTCTGTACCTCTGGACTTGGCAACATGCCACAAACATAGACACCGCATTCTCTCTCACACACACACAATCATACCCACATACCCAGGCAACTCTCAAGATCATCCAATAATCTTTCACATTAAAGTAAGTCACTTCACAACCCACTCAAGGTTCTTCAACAGCTCACCAGTGCACTCAGGACAAAAATCCAAAGTCTAAAGCATCCCCTATGCGGCCCTGTATCACTAACTGCTCTCATCACCTCAGCTGCATTTCCAGTTCACCCCTCTCCACAATCTACCAATCCTCTACAATGAACTTTCAGCTGCTCAAATGTGTAGTGCCCTCTCTAACATTCAGTCCTTCACCCATGCTATCCCCTCTAACTAAAAGAAGCACTTTTCTATTTCCATTCTCTCTTAATCTTCCTACAGGTCTAGGCTGAGCATCATCCTCCAGGCTAGCTTCCTCTATCTCTTCTTCAACTGTAGTAGGTACCCCTTCCAACACACCCTCAGTTCAGGTGCTCAGTCGTGTCTGACTCTGCGACCACATGGACTGCAGCACGCCAGGCTTCCCTGTCCATCACCAACTCCCGAAGCTTGCTCAAACTCATGTCCATCGAGTCAGTGATGCCATCCAACCATCTCATCCGCTGTTGTCCCCTTCTCCTCCTGCCTTCAATCTTTCCCAGCATCAGGGTCTTTTCCAATGAATCTAATACACCCTACACGAAGCCGAATACACTCATTGTAACTTGTGTTTCACTATTTTATGCGCCCTGCTCCCAGAGAACAGTGCCAGTGCCCCCTTGTCTACTGTACCAGAGCCACTCAAACATTTGCTAAATACATTCTAAGTTTACTTAATGAACATAATATGAATGTAACCCATAAATAAAGGAAACATGTCCAAAGGCAGTCATGATATAATGGAATCTAGGCAGCAATCTCCTTATACTTTCGTATAAACTGCAAACTACAGATGCGTTTAGGAAAGGTTAAAACATTATACACTAAAAAGAACACCTTTATCATAAAAATATTAGCTTTTTTCCAACTCCTGTTAGGTCTTCCTTGGTGGTTCAGTAATAATCTGTCTGCCAAAGGAGGAAACTAGGGTTCGATTCCTGGGTCAGGAAGATCCCCTGGAAAAGGAAACGGCAACCCACTCCAGCATTCTTGGCTGGGAAATCCCATGGACAGAGGAGCCTGGCAGGGTACATACAATCCATGGGGTTGCAAAAAAGTTGGACACAACTTAGTGACTAAACAACAAATAACAAATTCCTATTAGGCAAATTGTAGTTCATAAAAAGTACCATAATGAAGGTACCAAAAAAGCAGTTCTGGCTGCTTCTGGGTCAAGTATGGTATGAGCTAACTAACTATTCCTCTCTACCACCAAGCTTGCCTTGCATTACTCAGAACCTTGCTCAGTTTCTAAGTCCTGACAGAGATCTTTTATTAAGGGTTCCACTTATAATAATGGTCCCAAGGACAGAAACGTGTTGCCAGGAAATAGACCTCTGATACATCCTGGGCATTAGACACCACTGGCAGCTACTTTCTTTGAGCCACATGTCTTCTTCTGAGTTACAATCTGAGGCTTGTGACACCAGATTTTTCCAGGGCAGCAGACTGATGTCATAAACATGATGGTACTAAGCACTCTAAAGAGCTCACCAGCTCCACCCTGAAATCTGAATGCAAAGGGAAGCTTCCCATCTGTAAACAAAGCCTCAGTTTCCCCAGCTTTAGAGAAGGGTTCCCATTCAATAAGATTTTTGTGGGAATTAGACAGCCTATGAAGGTACTGAGCAGACAACACCATTATTATTTTCAAGTCAAAAAGACGGGAAGACTACAAAACCTAAGATATTTTCACATCTTCAGAACTTTTGATAATACCATAACTTATTTTTAACTAATACCCTTTCAGTAGGAAATTTCTGTGAAAGAAAAGGCAGAACGATGAGGAAATGAGAATCTTTTTTTTTTTTTTGGTCATAACCTTTGAATATGACAAACTTCACAGTAATCTACATTAAGATCCACTTTCTAATCTCTGCACTCCCAAAAATCATAGCCTTAATTTCTACCTCAATCATCCCTAGGATCTGAAAGACAGTAAAGATCAGCACATCTTTCCAAAATGCTCTCACAAGAAATAATCATTTCCTTACTGCCTCTATGCACCTCCAAAAATACTGAATCTTTGCAAAATAAGACAAAATAGCTAAATCACAAAAGTTGGCTTTCAAGGTCTCCAGTGTCTTTCCAATAAACCTAGAGTCATGAGTTATAATGGAAGCACCTGTCGGGTAAAAGGGGTGGCAATCCTTAAAAACTCCCAAGTGTCAGAAGGAGATTTTGAACTGTAATTACAGGTGGTAAAGTTGACTTCCCACCTCATACATTTTCACTCTAACACAGGCTGGCCAAGGTGAACATTTTTATCATTAAAAAAAGAAATGGGAGAAGAGAATTCGAGCCAATTAAGCATACTGGCTCTCACGTTCCTAAGTCAAGCTGACTTGGGGTTTTTTTTTTGACAAGGAAATCTTACAGATCTTCTGAAACGTGTTTTAAATAAAGGTGAGAGACCTCAAGAGTCTTGTAACTTTACCCAAGCCTGGGTTCATGGACTCAACTTTTAAAAATGGGTGACGTGTGAACAGCTTCCTAAAAGCAAATGGGGCACTAGGATATAATTTAGGAAGTGATGATGCAAGTCTCTGGGGGACAGGGAGGAGGGGAGGTGAAAAAGTCAGAGGAAATACCCTCCCGGTTCCTGGGGGCACCAACTCAAGACCAAGGAAGGGAGGAAGGGCCGGCCTCCAAAAACCGAGAGAAGGGGGCACCCCCAGCTCCAGTCGGAGGTGCCAACGCCGCCCCCTCACCCTTCCCGCGGCCCTGCCCCCCTCACCCGTGGCCCGGGCGGCCCCTTTCTGCCCGAGCCTCGGGCAGGCGAGTCCCCGAGGGTGGCAGCGCACCCCAGGCAGGGCCTTCTCGGCCCACCGCCCCCCCTCCAGCTCCCCCCCAACCTGGCGCCCCTCCCTGCAGGCCCGGCCTGGGCCCAGCCCGAGGGTTCCGGCCTCCCCGGGCCCGGAGGCCTGCCCTGGCAGCCCTGGCGCCCGCGCCCCGTCCCCTGCCCCCACCCGGCCGGGCACTCACCCCCAGAAGCCGCAGGGACAGCGAGGCGGCAGACTGGGCGCTTTGCTGCGCTCGCTCCCGGCGTCTCCCATGGTGCTCGGCGGCGTCGGCGACGGAGCTCGGCGGCGGCAGCGGTGGCAGCGGCTGGGCCTGGGCCCCGCTCGAAGGAGGCGGCGGCGGCGTCGGGGGGCTCGGGGCGGGGGGAGGGGAAGGGAGCGGGCGGGCGCGCAGGCGGGCGCGAGTCCGGGGCTCCGAGCCGGGATTCCAGGCCGGTCAGCTGGAGGCGGGCCGCACCACTCGGCCTGAGGAGACGGGGGGTGGGGGGAGGCCGGGGAGGAGGCGCGGAGAGTAAGAGGGAGGGGAGCTGAGGAGGTGGGGCGTGCGGGTGAATCGAGGACCGCGGGGCGGGGAGGAGAGAAGACCCGGCGCCCTCGGCAGCTCCCACCGCCGCTCCCAGCCACAGCGATGTCCCGTGCGGTGGCGCTGGGAAGGACCTCAGGCCCCCCCCGCCGGCTCCGGCGTAGCAGCGGCCGCTGTGAAAGCCGCGGCCCCGCTCGCTCCGTAACACCCTCCCCTCCCCCGGAGGCTGCGCTGACCGGACAATGGCCGCTCCGCCCCCTCCCCGCCTCGCGCACCCCTCCTGAGGAGTCACACAATGGTCTCGCCCGGGGGGGTAGGGGGAGCCGCCGCCGGGGCCCAGCAGCTGATCAGCTGGGAGCCGGGCGTGCCACTTTGTTCAGCTCCTCAAAGAAAGAGGATGGGATCGTGGGCAGAGCCGAGACCGCGGGTCTGTCACTCGGCGGCTTTCGCATCCTTCGGGAGTTTTAAGGTCTAAGGGACACTTAACCTTCCTCCTCCCCGCATGAAGGGGAAAGCACGCTGCTGAGTACTCTGGGGCACGCTGCCTCCCCCGAAACGGGAGTGGTACGCCCCAAGCGAGGGGGGGGTGCGGAGGAGCAGACTAGTTGTTTAATGGTAAGTTGGGCCAGTCCCGGAGCGGCGGCCGAGCACCGCGCATGCGCCCGGAGACCCCGTAAGCCGGCACGGGGAGGTGCTCGGAGGAGCGCTTCCAAACCCGGAAGTGGGGCTCGGTCTTCTTGGGGCCGTCGGGGTCTTCAGCTAGCCGAGAGGTGCACGGACCCTCCGCTCTTACTCCTGGGTGATGTCGGAGGGCATTTCTCAGTGAACTGCTAAACCCTGAAAAATCTCTATTCCTAGGTCTTCCACACCCAAGCTCACTCTTCCTGTTCCACCCGGAGAACTGGTATCTCTTTGGCAGCGGTAAACTTCTGGGAATGTCCCTCCTCTCCTCCGCACCAGCAATGGAGAGGGGCGAGAGTGTAGTGTCTTGGTTAGATTAGGTGCTCTTCTAAGCCTATCGGTGTCCCCAGCCTTAGAGACAGGAGTTCACTCCCTTTGCCTAAGCGAGGACAGCCTCTCTTACTGGAGTGGACATTTTGATTTTCGGAGGGGAGCTATGGCCAAATTAGTGATGGAAATTTGGGAAGTGACCAAAAAGTTTGAGCCACTAAAAAAAACGAGTCGTTTAGCGCTCATTGTCTTTTAATCCTGAACCCATTCTGAGTTCCAGCCAATCGTGAGCAGAAGGTAATTATTGATGACTAATTTAAACAAGGAGCAAATTTCCACGAGATCTGGAGAAATGACCCAAAGCTGAGGCCCTTATGGGCGAACTTCTCAGTCCCTGGGAGGCTTCCTGTCTCTTTTTGTTGTTGTTGTTTTCTTTTCTTACAGTTTTAGCACGTTCACAGACGGTCTTGAAGCCCATCCACAGGGGCCTTGAACCCGTTTTCTTGGCTCAGAGAGAAGGAGGGCTTGCCAGTTGACAACCACAAACCCTGTTGTAAACAGACGTTGCTTGCTGTCCCCTCCTGCCCCTCACCAATTAAAGTTTTCTAAATAGTTAACAATTATTTTAAGTTCAATGCTGCTGCTAAGTCGCTTCAGTCGTGTCCGACTCTGTGCGACCCCATAGACGGCAGCCCACCAGGCTCCGCAGTCCCTGGGATTCTCCAGGCAAGAACACTGGAGTGGTTGCCATTTCCTTCTCCAATGCATGAAAGTGAAGTCGCTCAGTCGTGTCCGACTCTTCGCGATCCCAGGGAACTGCAGCCTACCAGACTCCTCCGTCCTTGGGATTTTCCAGACAAGAGTACTGGAGTGGGTTGCCATTGCCTTCTCCGTTTAAGTTCAATAGATTTCCAGTTGCTTTGGGAAAGCAGACGTTTGACACCACTGAGCTCCCTCGCTCATAGCACTGGTATGAAATGCCCATTTTGTTTGTACATGCTCTGTGGACTTAATTAAGGTTCTTGTTGCTTCTTCTGAGCTCTGATAATCTGGGAGAGACATCAGTGAGCGGGCCTGAAAAGCAATCTTAGGGGCCCACCTACCTCCTATCTCATAAATAGCGAAGATCCCACTTAGTTTAGCATTCCTCCTAAACAGGCTCTTACTGGTAAAGACAGTGATTGCAAAAATCAAACTACTTAAAGTCAGAGCACCCCCCAAGTGAAATGGTGATTTATTTTGCTTAATATTTAGTTTCAACTTTGTGGATTTTCACAAGACTTTAATAAATATTTCTGTCAAAAGCCTATAGAGTGGATGAAGTCATACGGCACACCTAGCTCTCATTGGGCTTGTGTTTCCTTAAATCTTCACTCAAACTGACATAAAATTGCCACATTCATGAAAGATTTACAGCCTTTGAGTTTAACAAACTGAGATTAAGTGGGACTCTTGCTGTTGGCATCTTGACAACTTTCTATTGTATGTGGAAAAGAAAACCCTAAAAGCAAAAGGAAACTTTTATGTAAAACATGATTGTCATCTTACAAACTGCTTGTCTACCTGTATGTTTGCCAGTAATTCAATTTAACAAGCATTTATTGAGTACCCAGTATGTACCAGGCATTTCCTAAGGCTCTGTCCCTCCTATTCCCCTCTGCCTCTTCCTCTGTTACCCAGCACACTTCTACTGCCCCTTCATTCATTTATACCTCTGTGCCTCCCATACTCAGACCAGGCAGAATTGGTCCCTCCTTCCTCTGCCCAGATAGTCCCCATTATAGGCTTAGGAAATTTATGTCTTCGTGTTCTCACAAAACCTAACTCCAAAAGGACTAGCTCTTAGATATGGCTGTTGAAGTACCCACAACCAAGTGAGGTATTACCTAGATTAATTTTATTACCAAATACTATTGTTTTATTTCTATATATGCCTTTCTGTTTGTGCATGCTCTGTGGACTTGTGGGCTCCACCACTCTCAGTGGGACTGCGGCAAACTCAATCCATGTTTGTTGAATGAAAGAGCTAATCTGATAAAGTCACTCTTAGTCAGGCTCTTTTGTCTGCCAGTACAGAAACCTACTGAAACTTCTTTGTGCCAAAAAAAAAATTTTTTAAGGAAATAATCTTACAGAATCCAAAGGCACGGAGCGCAACAAGATCTCACGAAGGACTGGAACAAGGATTTAACTTACCAGCCTGAAGCCCAGTAGGTATTCCTTCATTATCTCTTTTTCTCCCTGGTCGAATGTTGTTCTCTCTACATAGCTGCTTCATTCTTCTTTGCAGACTTGCCTTCACTGCTTCTCTGGGAACATAGTAGAACATGGCTGTCCAAGCTTACATATCCTCACTTCCAGAACATGGCTGTGCAAGCTTACGTATCTTCATTTCAAGAGCTAACAGAGATTGGGACTTCCCTGATGGTCCAGAGGCTAAGACTCTGTGCTCTGAATTCAGGGGCCCCGGGTTCGATCTCTAGTTGGGGAACTATGTCCTGCAAGCTGCAAGTAAATAATCCATATTCCTCAAAGAAGATCATAGATCCTAAGTGCTGCAACTAAGACCCAGTGCAGCTAAATAATTTTTTTTTTTTTAAGAAATTGGAAATAGCCAAAAATTTAGAACTTGCTAAGATTAATTAGTACCTATGAACCCCTGGGAAAAGGTCTTTATTGATCTAAATCATGTCAGATTGTCTATTCCTCAAACAGTCTTCTTGAGCCAGTGGAGCATAATGTAGTCAGGGCTCTTTGCTTTGTAATGCAAACATGGCTGCTAGAGGCCCATCCTTGTAGCCTACAGTTCTCAAAGAAGATCAGTTATATTCTTGGCAGACTCCAAAAGGTGTCTACCACAGACCAAAACAGGAATAAATGGGCAGCCTGAAATTGAAAAGCATATAGAACAATGGACAAGTTCAAGAATTTTCCAACAAAGGAACTGCTATTTAAACTATTTCAAGCCTAAATTTAAATGGCACTCCCTCAAAGAAGCCTTCACTGATACCCAGCACCAATTAAAATTATGTTACTCCATTTTTATCTTCTGTGGCACTCTCTTCCTTTGCAGCACCGTTCACAGTTTGTAATTAAATATTTATTTGTCTCCTCTCCAAAGATCATGTCTGTTTACTGCTATATACGTAATGCCCTGGGCATATTTTTTTGGCATTCAATAAATATTTGTTGAATGAATACAAAAGCACAATAATTTGTTCATCAACGTGAGACTCATATATGAATTGGCATCCTAATCAGGCTATCTTGGAGAAACGTCTCCATCAACACTCAAATCACCTGGAGGCACTAAAACTCACTGAACTTTTTTGTTACATAGCAGTTGTAAGAAATAAGACCCAGTCTTCTGCTTCCTCTTACTATGTTCCTAGCTGGATGCTAACTCTTCATTTTTAGTTCCCAAGGTTTCTTTGTGAAGAGCCCTTGAGCCAGTTCCTATCAAGTGCCCACTCAATTGGCCAAAAGCTCAGAGAAAACCTAAAAGTTCAGGATATCATCAAATTAGGGGACCAAAGTGTTGGGGGGGCGGTGGTAATTGGCAGAAGTGCTTTCGTCATAATTGTCTCGACTATTTTCTACTGTAGATTACATTCCAAATGAACCTATAATGTGATTCTTGGGAGTAGTTTGCAATCACCATTGGCCCAAAAGGAGCCATGTACATGACCCGCAGGGTTTAGGAAAGAATAATATTAATGCTTCAGCCACTCTTGAAGTACCAACCAAGGTTGTATGTGAAAGATGTGGTTCAAGGGCAGGGGCTCAGAAGGGCTTGTTGTTCAGTCACTAAGTCGTGTCCAGCTCTTTTCGACCCCGTGGACGGCAGCATACCATGCTTCCCTGTTTTTCACTATCAGAAGAGCTGCTTTCTTGGTAATACTGAGTCCAAAGACCTTGGCCCTGAAAGTCACAACCTAAAAGGAGGCACAAGTAGAGACCTGAGACAAAGCAGATGGTCCTCCAACTCTGATTCTAATCATTACCCCATGACTCTTAACTCCCAGTTCATACCCTTTTATCATCATTCATTCTAACCTGATATTAGTCCCGATGTTCAATCCAAATTCTAGCCTCAGTCTTTATCCTCATCCTAATATTATCTGTAAAATTTAATCCTAGATTGTAAACCTAATCTCAACCCTAATACTCAGAGCTTAACAAGGCTCCTTGCCTTCCCACTGTCTTATTTTCCCTCGCTCTTCTTTCTTGTATCCCTTGGCCCTGACCCACTCCAAGAAACAGAGAACTCTCTAATACCCTAAACCACTGGGGAGATTGGGAACCAGTTTCATTAATTCTAAAAAAAGACCCTTGGGCTTTCAGGAAAGAGAAAGTGGATGAGTCTCTCACCTGCACAGGACACAGAAATCCTCCACAGTCACAACATGGCCTGTGGCCCAATTCAGGAGTTGCTTGGCCTCTGAAAGCCCAGGGCAAAAAAAAAAAAAACAACCCAGTCCGAGTATAGACTCAGGAAGCTCTGGTCCAGCTGGCCAAGAGCAGGAGGCCTGACACCTTTCTGCAAAATGATCAGGTTAGATTAGAAGAGTGGCTGGCAAACCACGTTCTCCGAGCAAGAATTCTGCTTTCTGCTCTCTTCCCTCATTGAGTTTGGTTCTCCAAAGAAAAAAAAAAAAAAACAACTTTTTTTTTTTTTTAAGTCACTAAGCCAGCCCCTCCCTGAGCTTCCTTCTGGCCCTCAAGTTTTCTGATGTGCAGTTGATTCTTTTAGTCACTTGCAGTCCAGTTGGCATGGATAAACTCTCAGAGCCAAGGGAAAAGAAGAGCAACCAAGCATACCGTCTCCAGCTCTTCTCAGGAAACTAAAAATAAATTAAATAAAATGAAGAGTGTG